ATATTTTTACTAACCTATACGAATTACGAAAAGGGGCTATTTGTTAGATCGTAAGTGTTACCTAGGATAGTCATAGTATCAACATACTAAGTTTGGTGCATCATAGTTTTGGTATCAAACCTCGAAATACTGGAGTTATGGGGCTGAGATGCGTTATCAGCAAGCTTATCAGTTTTGTGTCCTGTCATGAAAACACTCGCACCATTGTTTGCTCGCGACAGTCCATGCAGTGCCTTCTCTGTTGAGGGACCGTCCTCCACACACCTAAGACTAATTGGGTCGTTTACGGTAGGTTGTAGTTGTTCGCGCGGAGTGCTATACTTAAGTAGCAATTGTCATTTTTTTGTACTGGTCCCGGTAAGCCAGGTACTTTTTTATTCGTAACCTTTGTCATTCAGCTACTCTGTATCGCACCTCAGGTGGAGAATTCATTAAGATCTGCCGCGAGACTGTCACACCTGGTTGTTTTTCACTTATATATTGTCTAAAGTAAACAGGACAGAGCGCGAACGCATGTGCCCTTACGCACACAACTTGACAATGAGTGTACGGGTGATCCATGATTTATTTGAAAGCCTCATTGTAAACACTTATATATAAAGTAAACAGGACAGAGCGCGAACGCATGTGCCCTTACGCACACAACTTGACAATGAGTGTACGGGTGATCCATGATTTGATTTAAAGCCTCATTGTAAAGGAAAGAATAAAAGTGGACGGGGGAGGGACTTAGTGCTAGCTTACTACAGTCATTCCGAGGTGCCTATACTTCCAGACACTCACTCAGGCGATCTGGATAGAAACTGACAACAAGAACGCCACTGACATCGGTTGGCAGCCATATCTTGTAGTGTCTCCAACCAGGCACAGTGAGGATCACGCGGTCCCCATCCTGGAAGGCGAGTAGCACCGACAGCACCCAAGCGTTTCGTGATCTCCTTCATACTCCTCTGCCAGGTCATGGGTTGGCCACCTCTGCCCACGCCACTCTGAGTTGGGCATGGAAAACAGCACTCTCTTCGGCAAACGATGGTTTGACATACGTAACACATGTCCCAACCAACGCAGCTTCTGGTGCTGGA